AGGAAAAGGTCAATATATGTACACGCGTAACTAAGACCAACCATCTGTGGCCAGCAGGAAAAGGAAAAAGAAGGCTACCTTGAAATAGTTTAATGAATTCTTCATCTCAGTAACTTTTTCTTCCATTGAGCACTTGCAACTCTTAACCTTCTCTTCCAAAGCATATTCTCCATGCTGAATTCTTGTCAGTTCCTGCATTGCCTCTGTGAAACCCGTTTGCAGCTCAGAGGCCAGCGCCTGTAACTAAACAGTGCAGGAAGGAGAAATTCACTTTGCTGTAAGTGATCATAAAAGACACCCTTGGCCCCTTAAACTTTTCTTTTGTTTCAGAAACCAGGCTCTTGGAAATCTACAGATCTGATTTAATGGTATACTAAAAGATGGACATTTAAGGCAACCTTGACCTCATTCATCTAGGGAGTCTTCTTTATAGCGCACATTGATAAGAACAAAAAGAAATCAATTAATTACATTTACAAGTGCTTCTGCCAGCTATTATCTCATCTAAAACCTTTAATTAAAAAGGAGATTTACTTGAAAAGCAACGTCTGCTTGTGAAAGACTATCTTGACACTGGAGCTCTTTGATTCCGTGAAAGAAGAAGGCGAGGAATGGCTTGGGTTCTCTCTGGCTCTTATGCGAGCCTGGAGAAATTCAGGTCTTGGTCCCTTGAGAAATTAAAAATCAGAGTACTGGCTAAGCGTGTGACAAGAGTGCCTTTGAAAAGGAGGCGATTTTATGATATTCTTGGCCAGCACCACAGACAATGAGAGAATGGCATTTTCAGTATCAAAACCTAAAAACTCACTGCCACTGGGTCGATGCCAGCTCAGTGACCCTATAGGACCAGAGTAGAACTACCCCTGTGAGTTTCCAAGATTGTAACTCTTTGCAGGAGTAAAAAGCCTCGTTTTTCTCCCATGGAACAGCTGGTGGTTTCAAACTGTTGGTTTTGCAGTTAGCAGTCCAGTGCGTAACCACTATGCCACCAAAGCTCCTTTTCAACATCAGTGGCCTTCAATCCAAAAGTCTGGCATGGAAATATCTACAATGGCAAAAGCTTAATGGGTTGTTGATAGTGATGTGAGTCATCATCAGTGGCCAAGCCTAGTAGTGCAGGAGTGCACAAGTTGCCAACTTCCACACCAGGAAAGGGTGTCAATTTTGGAGTCAGACAAACCAAGGTTCAAATCCTGCTTCTCTCCATCATGCACTATGACCTTATGCAAGTTGCCTAGCCTCTTTGAAGCAGCTTTCTCATCTATAAAATAACTAGAATAACATGTATTTCACAGGTCTGTCATGAGAATTGAATGAGTAACTTAGGTCAGGTACTTGCTGACACAGTGCATGCATAATACATAGGAGGTGTTGAAGAAATTTCCATTTTCTCTCCCCTGCTTAAGTAGCAAATCAAAAAGCTAAACACAAATTAAACTGTGGAGAAAATGAAGAACTTCTAAATGTGTTTTATTGATTGAACAAATGAATGAAGTATTTTCCAGACAGGAAATTAGTAACAAGAAGATAATAATGGCATTAATCTTTCCAAACATTTATTTTACATCCTACTAAACAGAGGAATTCTTAGCTCCAGGTCTCTCTTTTCCAACAGAACTTTGTAGAAGGATTCTTCTTGAAAATATTCAGCAAGTATCCTTGTTTGAGAGGAATGAAAACTAAGGTCATTAACAATCACTTCAAATGTGTATTTCTGAATATCACCTCTGGTCTGGTCATCTAAGTGCACCCAACTTGCAATGACATCTTCCATTAAAAAAAAAAATTCCTTCGGCTTCCCCCTTCCCTTTTTAAAAAAATAAACAAACAAACAAAACATAGAATATTGTGGTTCACTGTGCTTCACAATTATTTCTTGCTTTATTATTTCCTCCACAAATGATCTCCTTTTAGGGTTAGGACTAAGGAGACACACAAGGAACCAACAGAGTCCTAATGAGAAGAAAGACCGGTCCTGTCAAGGTTTTGGGGTTAGAAGTCAGAGACAACGTAAGCAATCTGATTTCCAGTCCAGCCACTTTCATTTTCATTCATCTTAGTGGTGGGTTTCAGCTGGGTTTAGTCTTCATGGTGGACTATCACCAGATCTACTGCTTTTTGATCTGGTAATGTTCATGATGCAAATTACCGGTACTTAACTAACATCTCTGCTCCCCTGTGTGGCTGTGGGGAGCTTTCCCCAGAGACCAAATGGAAACAGCAGTCTTAAAGGAAAGGACTTTGCCTCACCCTTAGAACTCCAACACTCCGAATTAAGAACTTTGGATGTATTGTCTGTTTTCTCTCTTAACACCTAAGCTAGAGGAACTCTGAGAACTTGGAAAGTGTTTTGAGATATGAGACAATTTCTGTCTTAAATATTGAGTTTGAGCCCCTTGCTTGTCTGCCATTGAAGTAACACCGTTGTTTCAAATAGCTTCACCATCACTGACTGACCAGTCAGGGAGGAGAAGCCATTGTGAGGAAAATCACACATCCGAAATATGTTAGTTATAAGATGCAAGGGCTCTTAATATCTTTAGCTGCTACAGTGGCTTTCCAATACTAACCTGACTTCTCCCTTGTGAATAAAGACTACTCCGAAGATAACGGCCTTAACACTTCTTCTGTAAACTTTCTTCTTGGGCTGTCCACAGCCACCCAAGGGTTCGAGACGGTGCCTACTTTGTTCTCCAACAAGGTGAAATGTTCACTTGTGGATATTCTCCGCGAAGCTGCTTTGGAGAGGTTATGATCCCTCCATCCTGCTGCTGTAAGTGGCCTCTGTTGGAGATAGATTCAGGGAAGACTGGCCCTTTGCACCACAGAGGCCATCTGAGGCTCAAAGAATTCGAGGAGAGGGTTCAAATTCTTCCTATTTCCTGCTTTTAATTTGTTTCACGGTTTTCTTTGTTTGTTTGTTTGTTTTTTGGCTTCTTCTCTCTTCGAAGATGAATTTTAGTCAAACTCTTCCAATCTGTTTTTCACCAAAGGTCTCAAACTAAATTTTCCCATGTTCCAACTTGCTCTTAAGGCAGCCTCCCTTCCTTTGTTTTCTGTTCCTAATGCTAGGAAGCTGGTATGAAGCCTAAGACTCTGGAATTCTGCAAAATCATAAACATCAATCTTTGGGAAACTCCCCAAGGGAAGCCATATTCTCACAACACTTGACCAATGCCTCTATAAGAGCAAAAGCTCCGGTGCTTTGAAACAGAACACAGCAAAGAGGCTGAGGTCATCGCTTTGATTCCCCTAACAATGGCCAGTCCAGAAGAAAAGTGATCCTTCTGCCAGCTGCCAGCTTCCTAATTTTAAGTATCTATATTAATCCCCAGAGATGTAATGATTTAAAACAGCAAGTAATTTGGAGAGTCAAGAATAAATTTCCCAACTGCATTAGCTTACACCACCTCCAGAAGTTGAATGACATTCTTACAGGGCCCTAGAGAAGCCGATGTGAGGTTTGATGTGCTGAGGATCTATCTTATCCTGGGATGTACCGCTGGCCTGAAAGAGCTACTTCTTTGGCCTTAGGAGAATATTCATCAGGGCCAGAGGGAGAGTGAGATTGAAACAGGACATTAAAATCCCAGAAAACTTTCCAGGGCAGTTTTGATGATGAAACCTAGTACTGGTTTCTCTGGTGCTCGTAGTTTTTCAAGTAGAACATTTTTTTTGTGATTTATTTTTCAATTTTAATTACAGAGAAAAAGAGAGAAGGAAATAGCATCACCTTAAATCTCATTCGTTCAACATGACCATCATTAACACCTGGTGTGTTTTATTCTGTTCTGCGCATATGACTGTGGATCTTTATATGGTCAGAGTCACTCTGTGTACATATATCCATTCTGGCCTCCTTTTCTATGGCCTAACATTCTCATAAGAAAAGGGACTCTGCAGGTCCCCTTCTAAATGGTTCCTAAATGTCTGTTTCAACAGTTATCTAATATTCCGCCCTGTGGTGTGTCTGAATCTACCTAGCTTTTGGTTTTTGTTGGAAATTGATAACGCTTACAATGTTTCAATATTATAAAAATGGCTGTCACATAAGGCTTTTTACTTAAAAGATTGGTATGCATTTACAAGTATTTCTAAATATGAAACTACTAAATCAGAGGATGTTAGGTAGTGTAGCCCCAAAGGGAAAGGTATTCTATTCGGTGGAGGCAATGTATTCAAGCAACACAAAATATAGTTTGACCACAAGGTTTGAAAAGTTGTAATAATAGAGTTGTTTCATTTTGGAAATACTGTGCATGACACGTAATGTGCTAAATCAGTAGATCTAGAAAAATATGTCTTGGGTAATACACTATAGAAAACATAAATAATGAAAGTAGAGGAAGCTGCTTGGTTTAGAATCTTAAGACCCCAAGTGACCCAAACGCATGGTTCGGGTTTAGATCATTAGTGTGAGGTTTGGCCAAGGAATAAATTGTGCAATTATCACCTTCATTGCCTTAGTTGTGGCAGCCCCTTTTTCCTAGTAATGGAATCATAATTTCTTCAAACAACCTATATGGAAATGAAGTAATCAAGGCAGAAGTAACACAATCAGCCCTATGAACAACAGAAGAAATGCCATCTGGTCCTGCACCATCCTCACAATTGTTAAGCTTGAAACCATTGTTGCAGCCATTGTGTCAATCCATGTCATCTTTTTCTCTGCCCCTCTAACTTACCAAGTACTTTTCCGAAGACTGATTTCTCCTAAATGCATGCCCAAAGTGCTGAGATGAAGTCTCGCGATTGCTTTTAAGCAGCATTCTGGTTGTACTTCTGGCTGTCTGTGCTTTGGGCAGTTCACAGGGCCCTCCGTGTTCTTCACCAGCATCGTAATTCAAATGCATCTGACCTGCAAGCCTAGCGTGCAGCTGGTGTATCTGTGCTGATTCACCTTTATGGTGGTAATCCTGACTAGAGCCAACTGAAAGAGGATAGAGCTGGGCGTCCTTTGTGGTTTATTCCACTGTTCGATTGCTTAAAAAGATATTACATCCAAGGATAATAGCAAAAACCTCAGTTATTTTAAATGTTTGGGGTTTTGATTTAGATTTTTTTTAAATTGGGAGCTCTTAACTGATATTATAACAATCCATAATTCAATTAGATCAAGCATAATTATACAGTTGTCACCCTCAGTTGCAATACATTTTCTTTCATCTTTAACTCCTTGTTATAAGCTCCCCTTAATCTCCTCCCTCCCCCACCCTACCCCTCAAGAACCCTTCTACCATATA